GTGGTTTAAGCAATTGTGATGTGGGTTGTTCCCATGGTGGGATTAGATGTGTATGTTCTGAGCAGCCAATCTGTTGAAAGGGAGTTTCCCTAGGGATGTGGCCTGCTTCTGGTATATTTATGGACATCCTGGGAAAAGAGACACTCTTCTGTGGATCGGGATTCTGTTGTGCTGCCTACAACTGTCCGTGAGTGAACAATCCACAATTCAGTCTGGAGATCTTGGATTCGTCATTTGTTAGTGTCAGCAGCCGGTGTACTGTCAACCTTAAGCTTGTCAGCCCCTGCAGCTGCCTGAGTTGGGAAAAGCCTCCAGCTTGACATATGATCCAAGAACTTGGGACTTGCCAGCTTCTATAAGTGTGTGAGCCGTTTTCCAAAGTTAAATTTCCCTTCCTCTCTCTCTCTCTATAAGCTTTACTAGTTTTGCTTCTCTAGAGAATCCAGTCTAACAGAAGGAGGTAGCCTATGATCAAGAACTATTAAAAGAAGAAGCCCAAGCTGCACTGAGGATAATGTCAGAAAACAAGGCTCCAGGAATTGACAGAATGCCGATTGAGATGTTTGGATGTAGTGTTTACTCATTTATGCCAAGAGATTTTGGAGGACATCTACTTGGCCGACTGACCAGAAGAGAGCCATTTTTGTGCGCTTTCCAAATAAAAGTGATCCAACATGACATGAAAATTATCAAACAGTATAATTATTATCACAATCACTGGTTTAAAATATTACTGAAAAGCAACGATGTCACTTTGAAGACTAAGGTGTATTTTGGTCATATTATCAAGAGGGACCAGTCCCTGGGAAAGAATATCATGCTTAGTGGAGAGTCAGCAATAAAGGAGGACCCTCAATGAGATGGATTGCCACAGTGGCTGCAACCATGGGCTCATGCACAGCAACAGTTGTGAGGATGGTGCAGGACTGGACAGTGTTCTGTTCTGTTGTACCTAGGGTTGCTATAATGACACCTAACAACAACAACTGAAAAAATAGTATAAAGTGTAATTCAACATTTGTGTGATACTTTAGGGTCATTCTTAAGAAGAAAGATATTTTCTATTTGCTATTACCTGTAAGAATCTTTTTCTTTTTTCTTGACAGATGGTGTTACTAGTTATTAGGCTATTGATGTTAGACAGATGGAATTTAACTCTCAGCTGTGTCACTAATGTATTTGTGGGTCTTAAGAAATCTATAAACCTCTTTGAGCCTTGGTTTTCTAGTCTGTAAATAGGAATTACAATAGTGTCTACCTAATGAGATTATAGGAGCTCTGGTAGCATAGTGCCTAAGGCATTTGACTGCTAACCAGAGGGCTGGTGGTTCAAACCCACCACCAGCCACTCCTCGGAAGGAAGATGAGCAATCTACTTCCATAGTGATACTGCCTCAGAAACCCAAGGAGGGTTGCTATGAGTCGGGTCTGACTCAACAGCACATAACAACAACAACAAGATTATAGGGATTAAATGACATTGTGCATATAAAAGACAGTGCCTGGCCTTTAGGTAACATTTGTTGGACATTTTTTTTTTATTAAATTAAATTGAACTATTACTTGCATACAATAAAAGCACTAATCTTAACTAATTTGCCCATTAGTTACCTTTTTTTGAGCATGCATTTTTAAAAATTTGAAATAAAATTACATATAAAAATACTAATCTTTAGTGTACAGTTAGGAAGTTTCCATATTTATATGTAATTAACTCATGTAGTTCAAGAATAGAACATAGCCATCTCCCTAGAAGGTTACCTGTTACCTCTTTCCAATCAGTACTCATTTCTATCTGTGACTTCTGGCACCATCAGTTAATTTTCCTTGTCTTTGAACTTCAGGTAAGCGGAATCATATAGTATATATTTGGGAGAGCTGGTATCTGGTTCTTTAATACAAAATGTCTGTGAGATGTATCTATTTTGTGGCATGTATCAGTAGTTCATTCTTTTTCAGTTACTTTTGTAGCAATCCGTTCTATGAGTATATAGCACAATGTATTTGTCCATTTTTCTTTGGATGATATTTGGGTTTCTTGCAATGTTTAGCTGTTATGAAAGCTATTATTTTTTTAAATTAATATTTCACATTGTTTTACAGTTTCTAAATAATACCTCTTCATTAATTCTCATCTCCTTTTCCAAGTTTATTAAATGATATTAGTGATGTTTTTTCTCAGTATGAAGCCTTGTATCCACATTTGTAGCTTTATTCTGACAATATGAAGAGGCCTGATTGCTTGGGTAGTAGGGGGGTGGAGTATGGGGGTGTGTGGGGGAAAAGGTATGAATGTGTTTAAAGTTGGTGGTGGTAATGAAGTAAACATGAGTGAATTAAAAAACAGATTCTTGTCTTTTCATATAGTGTAATATATGAAGCAAACCTTTAGTTTAAGAGCTTTAGATCAAAGCTACTTGAATCATCATTTACTAGACCACTGCTTAACCCGTAGTGGATTATCAAAAAATACATATATAAATGCATCAAGTTATCTCAAAGACTGAGTCAACATGCTTTTAACTTGATAGAACAAGAAGTATCAGTAGGTTAAGAAGATAATAATAGTTAATTGGGGAGAACAGGATGAAAAATTATTCTCTAAAATAAGTATTCATTTTAATTCTACAAGTCAGTGGTTCTCAAAATTAGGCACAGGTCACAATCACAGATTACTTGTTCAAACACAGATTACTTGGCCCTGCCTGCAGAGTCTGATTTCAGTAGATTTTGGCAGGGCAGGGCCTAAGAGTTTGCGTTTCTAACAAGTTGTGCTGATGTTGATGCTGCTGTTCTGGGGACCACACTTTGAGAATCAGTGCTAAAGGTCATTTTAATTCTCCTTCCTGAATATTGCCAATAAGTTATTGGTACAGTCTTTCTCTTCTTACTGGATAGAGGCTTTTTCTAGCTCTTGGAAGAGAAACTTCTAAATTAAGAACATTACAAAACAAAAAATGGCATTGTTTCCAATCCACACTTGAACTCAAGCCTCAGTCTTTGATTTAGTCTTTGTCTTTTTTTAAATCAAGAACCATTTATTGGACTTGTGCTGTATGTTCCAAACCTACGTACTACTATTGAGTCTATTCTGATGACCTATGAATAGCGACCCTATGAATCTCATAGGAGAGAGTAGAACTGCCCCCGTAGGGTTTCTAAGGCTGCATGTCTTAACAGAAGCAGACTGCTTCATCTTTGTCCTGCAGAGCTGCTGGTGGGTTCAAACTGCCAACCTTTTGGTTAGCAGCCAAGTGCTTTCATCACTGTACCACCAGAGCTCCTTCTGCTATATGTTGTTGTTGTTATGTGCCGTCGAGTCGGCCCCAACTCATAGCGACCCCTCCTTGGGTTTCCGAGGCAGTATCACTACGGAAGTAGGATTGCCCAACCTTCCTTCCGAGGAGTG